TCTTTAAAAGTCTCAGTATGAAGATATAGGCAACAATCTGTCTGTCAATGCCACTCTGAATACCAAGTTGTCTGATCTACCTGATTTCATTAAAAAAACAATTAAAAAAATAAATGAGAAGCAAAGCAATACATTCAAGCCTAATTTGTATTTTCAGCAATTCCTCCAAGTCTTGCATAGTATTCAGCGGCACTCATAAAATAAAATGATAGACAATTTCAGCCTGATATTCTTATGGAACTGAGTCCACCTACTCAGAAAAAAAGCAACACTATAGAGTTGGTGGCTTATTATGAAGTAATCTTATCGGTTTGTGTTCTGGTGTTTCCTGATTAGCAGCCATTATGGTAGCCATTTTTTGAGCGATTCCTCATTAATCCATGGTTATTTTAACTATAATTTGTTGAAAAATCCATAAAAGCTGGGTTCATACAGCATGGCTGGAAGAAATATTTATTTATATTTATATTACATTTTAAACCAAAGCCAAATAAGACATTCTATGAATTGGCATTATGCCAAATCCTGACCTATGGACAGCTAGATTCAAGTCAGTCAATAGACTGTTAGCAATCCAGGAATGGCTGTGCTTTTTTTTATCACCAAAGTTATTTTAAAAGTCTAGTGCAGTGGTTCTCAACCTTTTTAATGCCGCGACCCCCAACCGGTCGTAAGTCAAGGACTACTCAACCGGTCGTAAATCGAGGATTACTCAAGTGGTGCAGCACCGTTTGCAGAATGGGACTTTTGGTGGGCTCAGGAGGGCAGAGGCAGCCTGGACAATTCCTATTGGCTTTTGAAAGCCAATAGAATTAGATTCTATTCAAGAAAGTCTATTCTATTGGCTTTCAAAAGCCAGTAGAATAAAAGGGACTGGCACAGCTAAGGAAAAGGGGGAAAAAATGGCGGACTGCGTTGTTTGGCGACCCCCGTGAAATGGTCGTTCGACCCCAAATGGGGTCCCGACCCACAGGTTAAGAACCACTGGTCTAGTGTTTAGCTTGCCATTTCTAATTTATTATAGAAGTTGTTTACCTTAATTTGCTGGCATCATACCACTTTTGGAATCTTGAAGTTAGTCTTAAAATGATTTCACCCTTTCCAATATTATTCTGCAGAATAAAATCCCCTTGAAAAGCTCTTTCTACCTTCTTTGCTAACTTCAAGTAAAGAGATTCAGGACCAGTTTAAAAGTATTTTACACAATGAATAGTTAAAATGGTATTTGCTACCATCAGGTGCAACAAGAAACAGCAATTTTGATGGTATTGCAAATGTGCATATAGAGTTGGCTATCAGTGCCCGTTAGGCTTTATGTCTATAGTACTACTGTAATACATAGTATATGTTAAATACCATACGCTAGAAAAGAGCAATTGAAGAGGGAAATCACTTCCTTTCTGCAGTGACAAACTTCCCGAATTCATTTGGTTGGCCACAATCTAATCCTGTGTACTGGACTAGACAGGCTGTTGGTCTAATCCAGTATGGCTCTTTTTTAAATCTTATTTTGAAGACAGTCAGCCATTGAAAAAGCCCAAACAAGGATTGAAAAGCAGGTGGAGAAGGGTAGAATTATACATGTGAAAAGGCTGTACAGGACTCCGCTTCACAGAGGTAAACATATTCTGAAGCCTGGTTTAGCTCACTTCAACAGGTTTGCATATTTATCAGCCACCATAAAGGATCACATTAGAAATTTGCTTTTAAAATGGGAAAGTTTATATCAGTTATAGTCCGGAGTTAATTAGTTGTCTTAAGATATTTTTTGTGGAGACAAGCTTAGAATATTTTGGCCTGGACAGTGACAATGAGTTGTCATCTAACTTATATACCAATTTTCCATCTCTAACTTCAGACTCGTGTTTTATCTCAATTATGAATTATGGAGTGCACTGTGATAATTTTGTGAATAAGTTACAGAACACAGCATAAAAATGAGGTGAATGTGGGGAGAGCCGAGGAATGAATGTATCTTTGAAGCCTATTCTATAAAAGTTTATCATCCATTTTATTCTTCTACGATTAATGCAAGTCAAAAGAAATGGTGTGCTCTGTACTATCATGCTCTGCAAATCTCATCTCAAAATTATGCAACATATGTTGTGTGTCTGAAAAATAACAAATCTTGATCTTATGACAAATAGATTTAGAGATAAACTTTCACTTTGTGTAATTTCTAGATCTTCAAATAGGTAAAAATTCATGCAGTGCTGCTGCCTTTTCTCCATTGTTAGTACTTTGCTTTTAGAATTTTTTTTAATACCTCAGTAAAAAAAGGTGCACTTTCATGATAACTAAAAATAGATTATCTTCTTTTTCCTTCCAGCCATTTATCATGTTCGCTTCCTGCCCATCCCTAAAGTACAGCTGCAGCTGGAAAACATCTCAGCATTCAGTTTCTATGCTGTTTTCCATCCTACAGCAACATTTTAAAAAAAGAATTTCATCGCTGAACAGAGCTGAAATTATCACAAAAATACTAATACCCTAATTAAAACTTATATGAATTAACTTACAGTAAGATTTAAAGATCGAGTGGTGATTCAGGCACAAGGGATTTTATCCCAACTACTGTAACCATGAAAAATAATAGACCTGGGAGAGTGGAGGTCTGACCACGCCTAATCCACACTCAAGTTGCCTTTAGACATTTTAAGCAGTAGAAGTAGCCATTGCAATAGAAAAACTCATGAATAGAAATGAATCAGGAGGAAGCTGTTTCCTCACTAAATAAAGTATTGGGCAGTTATTGCAAAGGTAAAACAAAGGGTATTATTTTGGTACAAAGATGCTTCAAGTGGAGATTCTGCCAAAGAACAGCTTCCTGGCTTTATAATATTCATAGCTAGAGACTATAACAGGAGGATGAGCTCAGGCAATGCAGCTTCATTCCCTCCAAGGTCCCACTCAGGACCTTTCCGGTTCTCAGGTAATACCAACAGGAAGAAGTCGAAGAATGGTTCTTCTGCAGACTGTTTGGAATATGGGAACCAATTAATGAGTTGAGGAATTCACAAACTATGAAAATATATAATTATATAACCAGAACACGGGGTTGGACTAGTAGACCTCCAAGATCCCTTCCAGTCCTATGATCCTATCTAACAGTTCCTGCCATGGTTATGGTTCAACATCTGCAGCAACACCCTAAAGCAGTGTGCAGTATTCTTTGGCATTCTTTTCAAGTGCCAATTGTTCAGAATCTTAATTTCTATTGTTTATACCTTAGATACCACTCTATCTGATGGCTTTACAAACTCATGCAATGTTTGTAATTGCTTAAATCAGTGATTCTCAAACTTAGCAACTTTAAGAGGTATGGACTTCAGCTCCCAGAATTCCCCAGCCAGCATGAGAAACATTAGCTTTCATAAAGGTTGGTTAATTATAGCACTGCAAGGCAATTGAGAGTTCAGAGTCAAACATTTCTGTGTGCATACGTAAAGGTGAAGTTGATGCTTTGCTTGGCTGGAACAGCTCTAACAAAAGTCACACCCATCCACACCTACCTTGTGCAACTCCTCATTCCAGTCTTCCTTGTCTGACTGGTCTGTGCAGTTTGATAAAGTTTCAGGTAAAGTATTTGATATTCCAAATCAAACAAACCTGCTACTATACTTTTATACAAAAATTGGTGTAATTCTGTCCACTACAATATGCATGTACAGTGGCAAAGGATTTATAATGAAGTCCAGGCTTTGAACAGCACCCCCATCCCATTTTCTTTTCAAGCTGATCCTGAGATACTCTCATCCTTATCATCCATATACAGTACCTTTTTAAAGTTTATACAGGAGGAAAGCTTTTATAATAGAGTAATTATTGAAACATGGGGTTACTACAAAGCAATGCTTATTAATAACCTGCCTGCTTGCCCACACAATTTTCAAATACAAGCTTTTCCTTCTTCCTTCCCCCAGATCTGTCTATTATCTCTTACAGGCTGGGTTGTCATCCTGTTGTTTTCTTTCTTCTCCCTCTTCTCCCTCTATCCGGTTACAGATAAGATGTTTTTCAGCTAAATATAAAACAAAGGCAACAAACAACACCCCGAAACTGATTTAGAACTTTGTGCCCAATCTTTTCCACAAAACTTGCAGCATCCTCTGTCCTGTTAGCAACTCCTGAGTTGTACATAGCTATTCTTCAGTACTGTTTAAATGCTATTTCCTCAGTGATTGACACAGGAAGTCAAGAATGGATGAATACTAAATTAATGCAAACTGGATGTAATCATGTATGAACAATACAAAAGTGTAGACATATATAAGAGATTGAATAAGAATCCAGAAAACTAGGAACAAGGAGAGTGTGAGTTCTCTCCCATTTTATCCATGAAAACCATCTGGGTGACTTTGAGCCAGGGATTGTCTCTCAAGCCAACCTCACAGGGTTATTGTATATGAAAAATGTTTGCCATCTTGAATACATGTACACACACACATTTGCATATAGGAATGGTAAGAATGAGAACACTGTTGTTTTATGATATTGGGAAGATCCTGAAAAAACAGTGAGATATTTAAAGAATAAGAGGTTTTGTACAAATCTGGATGGATGTGATAAAAGCTAAGATGGTTTGGAAAGAAAAAGAGAAGGGATAGCTAGAGAGAATGGCATTGATGTAAACAAAATTTAGTTATGTATCCTTTTCTTATCTCATGGATATTTTTTTTTTGCCTACCAGTTCTCTTCTGAGTTCTGCAGAATGTTTTTTGTGCTTTGCATAATGTAGCTCTGAAATGGGATAACCTGACGGATCTGCCTGAATGAATACTACTTCTCCAGTGATTGCTGAATTCTTTTATTGATATTCTCTTCAATGAAATTTAATTTCTTTGTCTGAGGAATTTGCTATTGTTGAACTTCATATCTGCTCTGGTATGTATGTTGAAATATAATATTTAGTATGCCAGTCTCTCTTGGAGACTTCCTGAAGAACAACCTATAGAATAAATAATAGGGGCATCTGTTGGAAGGGCAATTTTGGGGGGTGTCTGTGTATTATTTGATATTAAAAGAGTTTACAAAGCTACGCATTCCAAAATGAGCCTCTCTCTGAGGAAGATGGTTAGTTAAGGAATATAAGATATAAATAAATAAAAGGTGGGCAAGGGCAGAGAAAAGCTATATTTTAATTAAATGCCTTAGAAGACACATAAGTAATCATATGTTTATATTATATGACAGGGCAAAACATTAGGGGAGGCACATATTATGTATCCTAGATTTAGGGTAAAGAAAGCTTTGGAAACAATTCTGCAATTTGAATTTATAAATAGTAGTATAAATTTGAATATTCCTAAATCCTCAAAAGCTGGGCATTTCTACTTGGGGATTCTGTATTTGAAATATGATTTAAAAAATGAAAATGGTGAAAGAAAGGAAGTGCCTGCTATCTGAGCACTATTTATAGCATATTTATAGCATTATTAGACTTGACATCTTCTGACTTGAAATGCTAAGAATTAGCAGTGAAAATTCCCAAGTTTTCCCGACTGGCTTCTGCTGCAGAATAAACTGCCCTCAGTTTCACTCCAAATAAGGGAGAAGTATAGTGCAATAAAATTCCCCCCAAACCTGATGTTTTCCATGCATCCTCAAACGGTTCTGAGGAGAAAGGCAAAACAGGAAAAACAAAATAAATTCAAAAAGTTCTTTTTGCTTGTGCTACTGAGGGGAACAGCATGGAAATAGATGATCCTTACAATAGGAAAGAAGCATTAATTCTTAAAGCAAACAAATAAAAAGGTGTATACTATTAATGCCAGAAATAAATCACAGCTCTTTGGTGACACTGCTGATGTGGAAATACAACTGGCTGCATTGTGAATAGGATTGAGTCTGTTCCACTGTTTCCTACAGAGCCATTTCATTTCTTTCTAATTTCATTGCAGATAATTCAACCTCTTAAAACAGCATGAAAACATGTGTGTGTAAGCATGTACACATTCATCCACACCCTCTATTAATTCTGGATAACATGTCCAATTATTCCTATATTTTCCTATGGATAGCATAGTTACTAACAGTAAATAGTTAGTCCTTGACTTACAATCATTCATTTAGTTACTGTTTGAAGTTACAATGGCACTGAAAAAAATAATTTATGACCAGTTTTCACACTTACAATCATTGCAGCATCCCCATGATTAAATGATCAAAATTAAGACATTTGGCAACTGGCAAATATTTATGATGGTTGCAGTGTCCTGGGATCATGTGCTCACCCTCTGCTACATTCTGACAACCAAAGTTAATGGGGAAGCCAGATTCATTTAACAACTATGTTACTAACATCTGCAGTGATTCACTTAACAACTGTGGAAGAAAGGTCATAAAATGGGGCAAAATTTACTTAACAACTGTCTTGCTTAGCAAACAATTTTGGGCTCAAGCAAAACCTCAAATTCAAAAAATTCAGTATTTCAAATTACTAGATCTTTACCCAGAGCCCCTGAATAGTTTTCTCTTGTATCTGCAAGGGAAAAAAAGAATTTAAGATATATACGGTATGTATCTCAGATTAATCTAATTGTATGAAGACTTGATGGTGTGTGCATGTAGGGAAGAGCATCTTGATGAGGGTGTGAGTCAACGTATAGATTTCAAATTTCGTAACATTAAGTATGTGGTTCCCACTAAATTATGCACAATGGAGGGATAACCTGGACCAAATTTGGTCTGATGTGGCCTGATCTAATTGTGAATCGTTCTAGCTTGAATGCTCGGGATCTCCATTTCCAGTCAAACCCTAACGGTGGATTAAATCAAATGTCCTTTGGCACAGTACCCTACTTCCACAAAGGTCAGAGCCGGATGTCAAGGTGGTCGTGCTAGTTTCCTTACGGTTTCTGAACATGGAAGGCTCTATTGAGTGACCGTGAACGGACGTCCCGAACTAGCGACTTCCCCAGAATTGCGAGGCGACCGCAGGGTAACTCTTCCCGGGCGTCCGTTCGCGCCCAGCCGCCTTCTCCCGTCTCCGGGATGGCGGATGACTAAGAGGAACGCGCTGCGCGGGGATGATCATGGGCGGAGAAGGGACAGGTCTGAGCAGAGTCCGACGGTGTTGCTGGGCGGGAGAGGAAGGAGGCGCCCCCCGGGGGTAGGAGGGGAGCGGGGAACCGCCAGAGAACCCGAGCGGGGAACGGCGGTGCTCAGCCTCCCCGCCCAGGCACCGGGCCGGGAGCCGCACTAGCTCGAAGGCTCGGCCGCGCCGCCTTCCGTTGGCTCGCCCGGGAGGCGCGGCCAGTCCGGGCAGCTCTCCGCTCCGTCCATGCCGCTTTCCCGGGCAGAGGCTCCCTCTTCATTTCCTTCTCTCCGATGTCGGGCCCCCGCAGCGCCTTGCAGGCCTGGTGCCGCCGCCAATGCGAGGGCTACCCGGGCGTGGAGATCCGAGACCTCAGCAGCTCCTTCCGGGATGGCCTGGCCTTTTGCGCCATCCTCCATAGGAACCGGCCTGATTTGCTGTGAGTACCGGGCGACCGCCTCTCGTTCCCCACCCCTTACTCTCCGCATACAGGACGTGCGGGACTAGGCCCAGCAACCTCGAGCTCGGCTCGACCACCAGCCGCTCGAGGAGGAGTTCCTCTCCAGCTCCCGTGTAGGGGAACCAGCGCCTTCCTCCTGGGAATTTTGAAGAGGGAAAAGATGGGCTACTGGCTAAAAAATCTTGCTGGACAGAGGCGCCCTCTCCAAGAGACGGACATGAAGTCCTCCTAAAGTAGTACTTAGAGCCTTGGAGAGACCCCCACCCAGCTGTTCATACCCCTCATAGCAAAGCACCAACTGGCACCCTTTTACTCCATAGCAACTGATCCCAAACAAGGACTGTTTCCAACTCTGCAATCAGTAGTGCAATGCAACTGGAAACTCGTTGTGTCAAAAGAGCTGGGCCATTCAAATGTCTCTGAAATGGGATCTACTCCCTCTAATTCAGAAATTTCATGAAATAGGGTGACTATTCAGTTGTGAATAGTGTATAAATTGTGTATAAAATAGTGTATAAAACTGGTTCCTGATTTTTTTGGCTGAAAATTTGATTGACCCCTTAATAAGCTTTTTCTTTCTGCTACAAATCAAAGGCTAACCAAAGTTCATGTTTTAATAATTGTAATTTTGCCTGTCTACAGTAATGAAAAGGATGTGTCCACATTCATGACAAAAAATTTATGAAGCTGAGTTTTATACTTATCAGATTAAGCTGAAAGTCTAAATCTCCTTGTTCCTCATCTCTGAGATGGCTTGTGCAAGAAATTGAAATCTCATCCTACAATAGAATGATATTTTTAGCATCACAGACTCTTTTAGTTCAAGCTGGTTGACAACCTGGCCTGTGTCAAAATAGCCAATCTTTATCACTAGAAAAAACAAGTGTAGAATATGTACACTTTAGAAAGTGACTTTCTAAAGCTATTATCAATTAGACCATAATCAGGGAATACTGTTTGAAGCTCTATGAAATACGTTTTTGTACTTTCTGCTGTAAGATTCTAACTGACAAAGCGAAATAATATATAAGAGAAGAGTAGGAGAACCTCTTCTTTTTGATTGGAAAAATATGAAATCTTACTTTATGGTTGTACTTTCAGAAGCTTTCTCAAATGAAAATTTCCACCCAGCACTGCTTGATGCTTTTTAGTCTTTTTTGATGTTGCATGGATATATGGCTCTATGTCTGCCATTACTTTAATTATTTTGTTATCCTAAAGGAGCTTTCCAGTTTGGAGATAGGTATTGGAGTTCTGGTATTAATCATGAATTAGAAACTCAGTTTTAGCATTCTAGATCAGTTAAACTATTTCATCTAGCCAAACAATACTATCTTATTTTTTATTTATTACAGCAAACACATTATTTATTAAAACTATATGCTACACATTTTGTCAGAAGGTGCCTCTAGGCGGCTTACAACCATTAAAACATTGATATAAAGGATTAAATGTTAAGACAATAAATAGTCATAATGTTTGATTAAAATTGACAAAGATGGGGAGGAAGGGAGCCAAGTGCACACTGAAGGAGAGGAGGGGAGGTCTTATCTCTATTAACCACCCCCTGAAGGATACGCCCCCACTTTTGTAGATCATTTACAATTGTAAACACATTCACAATCATTGCCTTTTAACATGGTCGCTTACGAAGTTGTTGGTAGTACATGATTGAAGTTGTTTTTTTTACAGAATTTCTGGTTAGTGCAAATTCAGAATTTTTGAGAAAAGAAATAGATAAATGTTCATTATCTTAAAAACTATACTGTTTAAATTAGTATGTCCCATCCCTGTTATTTAACAGAATTACACTTTTCAACTGTATTCCTGCAGACAAATATTAATGCTTCTCTTTTAGAATGTTATCTTGCGAACTTGTGTTGCCCTTGTCAAACTACTTTGTTGTCCATGATGTTACAGATGTGTTTGAAAAAAACACTGATCTAGGTAATAACCACCGAAGCTAGCAAAATATGATCCCGTATGTGTCCTATATTTATTTCTGTGTTGTATATAATGGAGATGGAGTTAAATTTGTTTATTTACTAGATTTTTAAGCCACTGCAATTGTATGACTCGGTTTATAGAGAATAAAACTTCCATAATAACAATAGTATAACAATTATTACAAATATAACCATAAACAATATTTAACATTTAAACTGGAATAATGTATAAACAATTCCTGTGGTCTATTCTAATTAGTTAAAAGCCCTCCAGAAGAGCTCTGTTTAATATATTGCTTTTTCTAATCATAAGTGCTTCGGTGGAATAACAAGCAGGAAAGTGGGTGCAGGATGGTCTCCATCCAAAGATCCCCTCATTTTTAGTTCTGGATAAGCCTGAGCTGCTTTCAAATAATAGGAGTCTTTAGTTTAGCCAATGATTAAGTATATTATGTAAGTATCCCGATCCAATTTAACTCTGGGGAAAAATATTGCAAATAATTATTTAGGGGATATTTGTCTACTCTACATATCTGTTAATCCTCCTTTCCTGTTTGCCTACCCTAGTATAATGCTATGATACAATTACAGAATTATAGAGTTAGAAAGCATAGCACCAAATTCAATTTCTTGTTTAGCACTCTTCTCTTACAACTTTGAAAAATGTGATAAATTATTAGCAGAAAAATCAACAGACAATTGTTGCCATCATCTTTATCTCATTTCTATTCCACCAGTTATCTCTATAAGGTTTATAATTATTGGATATGAGAATAAAGAATAGAAATGTCTTTAGTAAATTTATGCATTTATATGGAAGTACTGTGTTAGCAACCTTCCTCATCTTGGTGCCTTCCAGATATAGTGGGATTGCAGTTGCTAAAATTCTTGAATTATTGAAGTACAATAGCTGTAGAACATCAGAGTGGGGAAAGCTAGACTAGAATGTTTATTTTTATCCCCCTTTATTATTTTTATAAATAATTCAAGGCAGAGAACAAATAGGATACTTCTTCCTCCTCCTATTTTCCTCACAACAACCATTCTGTGAGGTAAGTTGAGCTAGAGAGAGTTACTGATCCAAAGTCACCCTGCCAGCTTTCATGCATATGGCAGGACAGTTCACAGTCCTATGGCTCCTAGCCTGGTGCCTTAAACACGAGACCACACTAGCTCTCTACTACAGGAGTCCCCAACCTGTGAGCTGCAGCCTGCTACCAGACAATGGCTATTCGCAACTGGGCCATGTGAGATGTGGGCCGGCATGCACGAGCGGGTGCGTGCACACAAATCCCAATTCACGCCAGCGGTGGGCACCAGTGCTTATAGCCTCCCCTCACACGAGGGTGGGCATGGATGCCAGCTGCTCACACAAATGAAGCTGTGCGCATGTGCACCTGTCCCTCACACAAAACTATACCCTCTTCCCCTCCTCCCTCCCCCTCCCACGCCAGGCTGCCAACTTGGAAAGGTTGGGGAACACTGCTCTTTTAGACCAAACTAGATTAGGTATGACATTGATGAATGTCTGATAAAGATACTTGGTGATAGTCATTTAGTAATTTTAAAATAAATGTGATAGTGTTGAGTCCTATGAAGCAGCTGTCTAATAAGCGCAAGGCCTGATGTGGCCTTGAAGCAAGTTGCTCCAAAGAGATGAATTCAGCCCAGAGCCCATTAAACACAAGTTACTGCTCTGAAATATCTCAGTTATGAATCTCTGCTCTTGCAAATGGTCTAAGTAAGCACTTCTTATTTAACGGGAGTGAACTGAGTTGCCAGCTTGACACATTAGAGCCTTACAAGGACATAACATGTTAAGAAATAACTTTCCAAGGAACATCTGAAGGGAGTGTTGAATCATTTTAACTACTTCAGCATGTCTTAACTTGGAAGCTAGAGGATTGAAGAATGGAAAGAAATGATCAAAAATCACTCCATTGGTAGATCAAAAGAAATCCTGTATTCCCTTATTTTATCAGAGTTCTTGGTAAACTGTTTGGATAATAAAGTCCTGTCTGATGGGAAATCACATCTCCCTTCTGTGACTTGTGATTTCTATGTTCTCAACTCTTGGTTAGGGAGAGTATTCAGTCATTATTTTATTATATTATTATTATTATTAATTTTATTATTATTATTTATTTATTATTATTATTTTATTATTATTATTAATAAAATAATAATAATAATATTCAGTCATAATTGTATTTTACTTTGTGTACTCACATGGAAAATGAAGATAGAAATAGAAGTGATTTATATGAATTTGTAATATAGTCTACTTGTATAATCTATATACTGCTAAAAGCTTTGTGTCTGTAACCTTTAACTGGATGAACAGTGCATTATAGGGAAAATCTTTGGACAAAACATTTTGAACCAAATTTACTAAACTTAAATATGTCCTAAATCTGGGATCCATGACTCCCATGGAATTGAAATTTGGCAAATTTTATAAAACTTGACATATAAATTACAAAAATAATACAAAATGTCATAAAAGATTTTTTTTGACTATGCTGCATAGTTCAACATGGGCTGTTTCAAGGCAAATACATCTCTGAATATCTTCCTGAATTTTTAAGAACTTTTCTAATATGTTAGAAGCTCTGCCTTTGTTGAAGGCCTTGAAGAATGTGGCAAAGAAATATCCCTGAAGCAATGACCAATCAGGTTATTGGTTGTCTTCTTATGTTTTAAAGCACTGAGACAGCATACTGGTTTCCAGTGAGAAGCCTGGATTCCTGTTGTCAATAAAAAGACCAAAACATTGTAACAGTTGTAGGAGTGAGGCTTGATAGGTTAGATTATCATCCCTTCTACCCTCTTCAAAATGGTAGAAGGAAGACGACTTGTGTGAAATGAGTTGCATTAATGGATGATATGATACCAGTTGAGGGGTCCCTCCAGTTGGATAGCATTCAATATGCTATTGAGGAAGAGCTGAGTATTTTTAGATGTACAATATTAATGGTATCTATGATGCAGCTGCATTGAAGTCATTAAGGCATCTAAGTTCCTAATGTTGCT